CTGCTTCGCTTGGCAGGCTACGGTACTTACGAATTTCAGAATTGTTACTGTGGAGCAATCTCATGATAACTAATGAAACAATGGCCATGAAATGGACCAGAAAACAAAATTTCAAGGCATTAAAGATTTACACAAAAGCAAGTGGTCTTTATTCAGTAGAGGCTGTATTAAATAAAACCCACATAAATATCTCTTAAACACCTTCCAAAGAAGCCATGTTGTTTCTCTCTGCAACATAGAATTATGAAAAATATTGTTCTTTAATAGAGAAAATTAAAGTTTAAGAAAAATGCAGTTCTGCCAATGACAGCAAAATGACAGTATGCTATAAGTAGGTCACCAAGCAAACTTCCCTCTCACTTGTCTCTAAGCACGTCCAGAGGTTCACCATCATCACAGTGCACAAGTAGCCTTGGTAAAGAAGTTTGTAAGGCAGAACTGATGTTAAGCAAAATTTCTTGTTTTTAGTACTCTGATTTGTTTTCCTTATTGCTTTTATGATCTTGAACACTGTGAGACTATCATCCTTCTAAGCAGCTACTCTATTCTCCTGGTTTGGAAAAGAATTATATTTATTGCAGGCAATGAGAGAGCTTCTTGTGGATGAGAGCTTCTTGTTTTTTGTGAAGTGTCATGGCCAAGTCACATGTGTCCTGTGTTTCAGGTTCCTGCTCTGTAAAATGGAGATAATGATACCGACCCCCACGTAGCTATGAGAGTTACACGAAGTGGGCACATGAAAGTGTTTGGTTGGATCACAATCTTTGAGGAGAGCAAGGTGAGGGGTAGGTGAGGGATGCCTGTTATTTCCCCACCTCTCCTGGTGCTGCATCAGCCTCTGACAACGCCTCCAAACCTATTCTTCCAACACGCCACCAACCCCCATTGCACACTAGTAATACCACAATTTATATGGAAAAGTGAAACACCTAAATGCTATTATATATGTGGCTTCATAGAATGAGAAATTAAGTAAATCCCAACATAGATTCAGGGCTACTACTAGCCTGGACAAAGGACGATTTTCATCTAAGACTCACCCTCTTCTTTTTAAACACTGTCTCTCCCTTTTTGTGCCTAGTACCAGTGGGGTATGCTCTGGCTGCCTGGGCACACCTAATTCAGAAACTCAAATAGAGCATAGAGTCTCCTTCTGTAGGTGTCCATTTATGCTCTGCTTTTTTTTGTTGTTGTTTGTTTTTTTTGTTTTTTTTTTGTTTTTTGCTACTCCTTTTCAAAAGTTACTTATACTGAATCTTATTCTCTCAGGTTTAATTATCTGTCTTCTCCAACTGGAATTAAAGTTCTACAGGGCCCTTTGTCTGCTTCACTGGTGGATCCCAAGCACCTGTTATAGAACAGGGCCTGGCATGTGGAAATAAAGAATAAACCCATGTATGCCATTGTGTCAGTAGCTACTAAAGGCTAAAATTCAGAGGTTGCAGAGCCAGATATGGACAGCAGGACTAGTTTCCTTTGTCATACAGTGTTTGGGAACTTTTTTTTTAAGCTGGGGATATTCATTTAAAAATCCCTGTCTAGCTTCCCTCAAAAAAAGTAGATCTGGTAACAAGGCCAAGTGTCTGCTCTCTTTTAAATGGGGCATGGCCTTCCCACTTCCCTACCCTTCCCTGTTTGCTTCCCCACACTAAGACTGTCGGTTCCAGTATTGAGAAACTAGGAATAGAACATTGGGATTATTATACTTGGCCCACAACTAGCTTATTTGTTGGTGATATTAGAATTTGAGTTTGTGACTCCAGTCTTTAAACATTTTCTTTCTAGGTAATGTATTTATGTTTTGCTTAGAGCATTTTGAAGATGTAAAAGGTATAATGACATTGCTGAAAATTTTACACATTGTGGTAGGAGAAATATTTTAGGCTGGTAGAGCTCTCAAGTCACACCATGAGGGTGGTTGCCTTTTTCATCTAGGCATAGGCAAAATTAGGAAAATTTTAGATTTCTAGGTTCTCATTTTCCTGAAAGCTTCTTTCCCCAAGCCCTTAGAGGTTCTGCAGTGTGCATTACCTCTTAATAATACTTCTTTTTACATTTGAATACTGTTTTTTCCAAATCACCATATTCATTGAGCTGTTGCAAAAATCTTATCTAAGGCCTAATTCAGTTTGAATAGTATATTTTTTTTTTCTAATTCAGTTTGAATAGTATATTTTTTTTTTCATTAAATTCATGCAATGATGGCTTGGCCGCAGTCTACTTAGCAGAGCAAGTAGCCAGTGAGAAACCATCTAGTGACGGAGAACAGCAAAGGTGCTCCAGGAAGATTACTCAGGCCTCAGAGGAATTTTTCCTCCTGTTTGGCCATGCATATAATTTAAAATCACTGAGTAAGAACAAATTGCTAGCTTGCTTCACATTTGGGGGAACTTGGTAACCTATGAGAGATGCAGGCCGCTTCTCAGTATCTAATCGGCTAAGTACCAGACTAATTCAAAAATTCCTACCAGGAGTATGGGAGGACATCGCACAGCAAAAGATGGCCATTAACTGTGACTTAACTTCACCTGAGATGATGTACTATCAAAGGCAAATCATTTCAGTATAAAACAAAACTTTTTATTGAAATGTACTGTATGTAGAGATAATAAGTATACAACTTTAGCCTCACAATCTCCTTTAGCTTACATTCATATTCTAAATGTAAAGTTTTATATTAGGAAAGCCGATGTCTCACTTTTGAAGCAAGCTTTATCCAATATATGCATTTTTAACCTAAAAATTTCTTCAACCTATAGGCACTTTTCCACTCTTAAGGCCATAGCAGAAAGCAGGCCAGATGAAGTTGCTGCTCTCCTGGAGCTTATATTCCATTGTTGTATAAAATAAATGGTAAAGGAACAGTCTGTGAGGTAGATAGAGGCTATGAGACGGAAAGGTAAGGGGGGTGTCAAGGGAGTATGTGGAGAGGGAGTAGGGGGATGATGAGTGGCAGGGGATGATCTTTTATTTAGTGAGGCCAGAGAAGGTGATTCTTGAGCTGAGACCTGAATGCAGTAAGGGAGCCAGTCACGTGGAGACGGTGGCAGGGGGTTCCAGGGAGCAGGAACGGCAAGCGCAAAGATCTGCCGAGGCACACGCTCCATGTGCTCAAGCCGGCCCATGGGGCTGGAGAGGAACGAGCATAGGAAAGAGGAGGGGATGTCACCGAGGAGCCAGGGAACAGATTACAGGCTCTTCTAGGACACTGTGAAGACCTTAGATGTTATATCAAGGGTGATGGCAAGTCAAGTGGTTGGAAAATTTTGAGCAGGGGAGCAACTTGATAAAATTTACATTTTCAAATCAATGACGAAGATGATGTACTGATAATACCTGTCATGTCATGTATTGAGCACATGTTATGTGCTAAGGACTCTACATATATTATCTCATTTAGTCTTTGTGACAGCTATATGGTAGTAGTCACTGTGGCTATTCTCATAGGACAGATGAGGCAATCACTAAGCAGTTGGTCATGAGTAACTTGCCCACAATTGCACAGGTGGTAAGTGGCAGGGCCAGGCTTAATACAATGGTTGTATTTTAAAATCTTATTTATTTATTTATGTATGTACTTATTTATATGAGAGACATGGTCTCACTCTGTCACCCAGGCTGGAGTACAGTTGTGCAATTAATGTACACTGTAGCCTCAAATTTGGCTCAGGCAGTCTTTCCACTTCAGCCTCCTGAGTGGCTGGGACTACAGGCACACACTACCACACCCAGCTAAATTTTTTTTTTTTTAATTTTTGGTATAGATGGGATCTTGCTATGTTGCTCAGGATGGTCTTGAACTCCTGGACTCAAGCAACTCTCCTGCCTTGGCCTACCAAAGTGCTGAGTTTGCTGGCATGAGCCACCATACCCAGCCCTTTTTTTCCCCCCATTCATTTTACATCACTGTAGCCCTAAACTACAGGAACCTTAAGGCTCATGTAGATTATGTTATAGCTTTCCTATTTTTATGAACATTTTAAAAGTATAAAAGTGGTATTATCATACATAACCATATCATCTTCTGATTATAGAGAAGGATATGTAAAAGAACCACCCAAAAATGAAACCCCCTAATTAAATAATCTTTACAGAAAGAATACAGGTTCTTAATCTGTAGATTCAGAATTGTATCTCAGTATCATCGATTTCCTTAGTAATATTATGGGATCTTTTTCAATGCATTTAAATAATCTTCTGACATAGGAGTCCATGGGCTTCCCAAGAGGGCCCGTGCATGTAGAGTCAGCATGTACAAGGATTCCCAAGGACTCCTTTGAATCCAAGCATAACTGCCACAAACGCCACCAGAGTTACTATGTTTAGAGTGACGGGAAGTATGATAAGTACACGCCCAGGCTCACAAAGAGGCCAGTTGTAGCTGGGCTGACCACTTGTCCTGATCTGCCCAGGGTTGTTCCAATCTATGTGTTTGTTCAGGTCCAATTGTTAATATCAAACTCAAAAGTGTCCCAGAGAAAACAATAAATAATTTGGCTACTGTTGGCCACCTGTGATCAAGAAAACAGTGATGATGTAGCAAATTGATTGCTATCATCAGGACACGTGATAGGGGCTGCCAAGCCCTGAATTCAGACTTATTGCGGTAAAGAATGGGTGTAATTGAAGCTGTAAGATGCAAAGGATACGATGGGAGAAAATCGTTTTGGCCAGGCTCAGTGGCTCACGCCTGTAATCTTAGCACTCTGGAGGCTGAGGCGGGAGGATCACTTGAGCTCAGGCATTAGAGACCAGCCTGAGCAACAGCAAGACCCCATCACTACTAAAAATAGAAAAATTAGCCGGCATGATGGCACATGCCTGTAGTCCCAACTACTAGGGAGGCTGAGGCGGGAGGATTGCTTGGGCCCAGGAGTTTGAGGTTGCAGTGAGCTATGATAACACCACGGCACTCTAGGTGGGGGTCATAGAGCAATACTCTGTCTCAAAAAAAAAGAAAAAAGAAAAAAATTTTAATCATAATTATTTCTTTTTCACAGCCAAAAAAGAGCATAAAATGGAAGAAGGTCACTTGGAGAATGCACAGAAAAGGTAAGCAGCTCTGATTTGGCTGCAGTTGTCTCTTTGACCAGCCATTCTGTATTATCATTGTTGTTATTATTATGAAATACATTCACATAACTATGCAACTGTATCTCCAGAACCTTTTCATCTACCCCAACTGAAACTCTGTACCCTTTAAAGATGAATTTCCTATCCTCTTGGCAACCATACTGCTTTCTGCCTCTGTGACTTTGACTAGTCTGGGCACCTCAGGTGAGCGGAGCCATACGGCATTTGTCCTTGTGTGACTGCCTCGTCCCACGTAGCATAATGTTTGAAGAGCCACTCTTTGGGCCTCCTTTGTTAAGACTGCATCGATGAGCAATGAGGTACCATTGGGAGCCAGAACAAAAGCACTGTAACAGGACTTGGGAATGTTTGTCCTCAGGAAGCAGGGACTCACCCCTGCCACACTCACGTGTCGTGACACTATTCCATCTGTTTGTCTCTCCCTCAGTACTCTGCCCCTGAACCACTTCATGGAAGTTAAGAACAGTCTGATCCTTCTTGGCATTACAACTAGATTAAACTAATTATTTCAAACACCTAAGAGACTTACTATATCTTTCTTCAGATCCCAGAGGATGCTATAAGCCGGGACAGGTGGGGAGGAGGGACTGCCCTCTGCACAGTCTATGGAAAATTCACCCAGAAGTTGGGAAACCTCAGAGGTCTTCTGTTCAGCTTCACTTTGCCTACTTGAGGCCTCTTTCTTGTTCTTCCCTCTCTCAATAGACACCAGAGGGGAACCTCCCACCTCGCCCAGTGGAACCCAGTAATCGGCAGTTCTGATCCCTTAAGGGTTTTCCTTTTTCTTAGTTGGCCAGGTTAGTCACCCTGGCTCTCACTTCATCTCAGAAGGGTGAGTGGGAATAGACTGAGGCATTCTCACATTCAGGGCAGAAAATCAAGACAAATTTTGCTGGTTCCAATTCTAAACGTACTAGAAAATTAAATGAGAGGTAGGGTAGGAGACAGCATATAGGGAAAAACAAGCTTTACAAATGTGTGAGGAGGGGAGTTTCCCAGGTATCAATTTAAATGCAAATAAACAAACTGTACAAACCATTTGCCTCCCATCTAGCCACCATCTCTGAGTTTTCCCAAAACCTGTACACAGTTCTGTCTGCCCTGCTTCCCACTGTAATTAACAATAAGATTAAAATGCTGATGAAAGCAAGATGAAGGCAATTCTTACACTTTCCTAAGTGCAAACATGTTCTTGAATCATGGTTATCATCCTATCATGAGAATCATTCAAAAGTAAGACAATTCCATGGTTATGTTTTTAAGTTTTTGTGCCTCTCTATTGACTTCATCCCCATATCAAGCTTCCCTTCCCAACACGTCAAACTAGCACGTCTGTGTTATAGAAATAGTCAGCATGTGAAGAAGAGACCAGCAACATGGGCACATCAGTATCAGGCTAGATGGAAATTCAGCTTCCGGGTGGATGTCAAATTTCTAATACTTTTTCAAGACTCTTGCTTAAGGAAAGGGGGCCCACCATAGAGGGGCTGAAGCTGCTGCCGTGCATTAGCTATGCTGAGGGGAGTCATAAATTTTGGTTGTCAGCATTTTCCGTGGCTTTGCGATGAAGGTAGTCTAGCTTTCATGTCATACATGAAATATGTTAGATCCCATCTTTAATGTAGAAACCACAGTTGTTTGGTTACACTCTTTAAGGAGGTTGTGGTCAGTGTTGCAATATTCGTGTGAGATTTAGTAAACTCTTATGTTTTATTCTCAAGAGAAACAATTTACTCTGAGGCTAAGGAAAATTTGCTTTTCCTAAGCAGTTTCTGAAGGCTTGCATGTATAACAATAAGGGGATGTGTTCTGCTTTGGCACCTCAGCACTGTAAAAGTACAACAGTTCACTCTGCTGTGGCTCTTCAATATAATCATTGTCTGTGCTTTAAAACCGTTTGGACAAATTAAAAAGATACAAATCAGACTAGGAATTATAGCAGAGGGGAAAGGAATCAGAAATAGTTTGGAGTAAAATTTAAAAAGCTGTGTAAGACAAAACATATGATTAGAAATCAATCTTTTTAAAGTTGAGAACTATTTTAGTTATCTGCTGACAAACAGAGATTTCACATAGCATGATTGACCCTTTGTTTCCTGTCGATTGGAGAAAATTCTCCTGGTTGTTAAATATCAGCAGTTTGTCTTGCCTAAATTTCAGAAGATTTTCAGTGAACAGTCTTCTGTGAATCAAAACTGAATTTAAAATAAAGGGAGTTTCGTCTGGAGTAGAAAATAGTATAGATCTTATCAAGCAGTTGTAGGTTCATATTCTAGCTTTTAGCTTTTTCTTAAACAAAGGGATAATGATGAAATCAGATAGGGCACAATCTCAGAGCAACTGCCTCTTTGTCAAAGTTGCTGAACACTAAAGCCAGACCATTCTCTGAGATTCTGTTTACTTTGGTTCTTCTGGAGAGGTTCACTTGCTTTCTTAGTTTTCAAAACACATAGGGAGAAAAATGCTGGAATTTGATATTTCTTTTAGTTTTTGCCCCCTTTGAGGGAGGGTAAGCAGGCAGGACCTCACAGATCCCCAGGGACACAGGCAGTGGGGATGGCAGTTAGCTTCAGTTTAGAGTTGGGAACAGCGAGGCCCCCAGGAGGATGACAGGCCCCCAGGAGGGTGACGTGCTTTCCTCAGGCTGTGACAACCACCAGTCCACATTGTCGTTTTCTGAAACCACACCAGGATTTGCAACATCTTGGTGTCCCAGTCTAGACTTTAAATAATGCCAAGGGCACTGGGGTGATCCGTGAAGCATAATGACAGGACTTCACTATATCCTGTTGTAAAATAGGAAAATTATTTCTTCTGAATATTAAAAGCAAAAGCCTTTCTCCTCTTTATGAAGACATACATAATGTATTACTATAAATATGGATCTATGTAGAAGGTTAAGCATAAGAAAGAGGAAAAATAATGACGTGCCCTGCCTGGGAGAAATGCATATTAGGTGCTGGAGGGCAACTGTGTCTAAAGCAGAAATAGAGGAGAGAATCACTATTTTATTTTTTAAATGCGTGTGTTAGTGAACATGAACCCCACAGAAGGGGGAGAAGATGGAAATTTCACAGCAAATCAGGGACTTGAGTTCTAGGCCCAGCTCTGCCAATGAGTAAGGTCATTCAGTCTCTCTAGACCTCTGTTTTCTCATCTGTAAAATGAGAGTATTGGGCAAGTCAACCTGTAAATCCCTTCCAATTCTAATGTCCTGTGACTTTATAGGAAATTCATGGCCTATTCCTGTAGGTTAGATAACTCTCTACTTACATATTCCCATACTACAATCAGCATAATTTTCATTTTGAGTGAAATAAAGGTATATGCTAAGAGGGAATGTTTGGTTTTATCAGCATTTTGACTGCCACAGAATTAGGAGCTATGTCTGGGGCAAGAGTGGACATTGCTACTTTATTCCATTACTGGTTTTGCTCCCAAGTATGTATGTTTGGAATTACAAGAGAGTCCCTTAAGAGATTACTGCAATTATTGCCTTTCTCCCCTTATGCACTTCCAGTCTTTTAATAACTAGGAGCCAAAATTCCCTGACCAGTAGTTTTAATTTGCATTAAAAACAGATTTATTATTTACAGAAGCACAAAGAATTTATGGGACTCAGAGCTGCAGCTCCAGCTTGGATCTCGCCTAATCGTAGCCATGGAATCAATTAACAGTTCATCTGTGAAATGTGATAAAATCTTATGAGATACATATTGCCCAATAACTGAGAGCGAGATGAAAGTATGCACCATAATACTAACGGGGCTTCAGGGTTTTACAATCGCCATTGAATAGAGTTCCATTAGAAAATCAGTATTCAGGATGGCCACAAAAAAACGCTGTGTCTGAACAGATGATAGAGCATCGAGTAATAAACCTAGCCAGCCATTCCTGCTTTGATTAGTTTCCAACACCCTAGAAAAGGGGGCCATTTATTTAAGTGTTCTTGCTCATGGCAAATGAGCTTGTGAGGCTTGGGGTGGGTGGGGGTGAGGGGGAAAGATTGAGTTCAAAGCTATAAATTGCTGCAAAGCTAGTGCCTCCAAGAAGGGCTGCTTGGGAGGCCCAGGTAGTCTGGTGTGCAGTGAGCCTTCATGAGGTAGGTCTTAGTGGTATCTGAAAATCCACTCTGGAAAACCTGCATTCTTTTCTGACAAGATTGGAGATGATTTTTCAAGATCAGAAATGTTTTTCCATCCAAACCTTGCTATGCCCACAATTATGTCTCTTTTTGTAACATTGGTGGTTTGTATTCTTATATCAAGCTTTAAAATGTAATCCTTGTAATCTTGTAATCTTGTAATCCTAGCACTCTGGGAGGCCGAGGCGGGCGGATTGTTTGAGCTCAGGAGTTCGAAACCAGCCTGAGCAAGAGCGAGACCCCATCTCTACTATAAATAGAAAGAATTTAGCTGGACAACTAAAAATACATAGAAAAAATTAGCCAGGCATGGTGGCGCATGCCTGTAGTCCCAGCTACTCGGGAGGCTGAGGCAGAAGGATTGCTTGAGCCCAGGAGTTTGAGGTTGCTGTGAGCTAGGATGACGCCATGGCACTCTAGCCCAGGCAACACAGTGAGACTCTGTCTCAAAAAAAAAAAAAAAAAAAAAATGTAACCCTCTTGGAGATCATATCATCTATGTCTCTTATTTTCCCCTTGAGAAAACTGAAAGTCAGAGATGCCGAGTGATTGACCCAAGATTACGAAGCCAGTGTATGCCGGAATAAGGGTAGAACTCATTTTCCAATTTTCAGTGAAACATTCAACAGATTAATTGTTCCCAGTGGACTATCTAACTGACCACTGCTAATGCTACAGAATCAGGATGTCATCAGTCTTACATGTAATCATTAAACATAAAATGAAGATCAAGTAAAGGACATGGATTTGAGATAAAGAACAAACTCAAGTTTTACCTGTGTATCCCCAGATGTTATGTATGCTGGGGTTTTTTTTCATACAGATAACATGTGCCCAAGTGTGTCCCCAATAAAGTTGTATTTCTTGGCAAATCAGTCTGGGCAAATAAGTTTTCTTAGGTTTAGAATAAGTCGCAATAGCTATGAGCCCAGGAGCCCGTGTTAGAGAACAGATACGCAGGAAATTGCGCCCACCGTCTCCTCTCCTCACCTTAATGGGTTTTGGTGTTGACAGTTTCTCACCCTCTACCTCACTCCGTTTTTCCCCTTACCTGTTGCAGTTTTGAAACAACAGTAGGATATTTTGGGATGAAGCCAAAGTCTGGTGAGAAGGACATCACACCCAGCTATGTGTTTATGGTGTGGTACGAGTTCTGCAGTGACTTCAAGACGATCTGGAAACGGGAGAGTAAAAACATATCTAAAGAAAGGTAAGGCTCAAATAAAGACATTAATATACCCTTCAGGAGTCTAGGAAACTGCCCCCTCAAACCTAACAAGGTGTGCGTATTTCACACACATCAGTGTTGATTTTTTGGGGAGTGGCGGGGGCGATCAAATGGACTTCCAGGAAAGACTTTTGCCTCAGGGGTCATAGGGAAATTCAGAGAAAGCTTGCTGTCCACACAAGCAGATACACTCACATGATCTGATAAGTTACACTTTGTTAACCCCTTGCAATTACTAACTAGTGAATGAAAGGAGAGTCGTGCTAATTTGCAACAGATTGCTTCTCTGTGTATTTTCATGTCGGCTCAGGCTAAATGAGGCAGCCTTGCTGTCGCAGACAGTATAGACAAATAAAAGTGAATGCTTTTCCCATTAATATACTGAACTTGCATCAAAGGGAACTCTCCGAGACTCAGGCCACACTTCACATGGCGTTGAAGCCCCACACTGGATTTACAGCGCCACTTCTGACTCCCCGTATCCTGCTGGGGACATCAAACTGCGTGCCGCTCGGCCTCATAGCAGCCTCCTGATTTTATTAGTTGAGGGTAGAAGAAAAACCTCGGCTCTGAATATAGGCTCTGTGTGTGTGTGTGTGTGTGTGTGTGTGTGTGTGTGTGTGTGTTCGTGTTCTCCTTAGAGAGACTGAATTTGGCCCTATTTATCCGAAAAAAAAGCATTTCTGCTTGATCATTGTCGTAATCAGGTTGCCAGTGTTCCATAAAGGGTGTCGTGGATTTAAACTTCAAACAGGTCTTGCCACTACTCCTGCGGAGCAGATGTATAAGAATGTCATTCAAAATGGAGTGGAAGGAGGCAAAAAATTCTACAAAGTAAGGAAAACGATGTATTTAATTAGAGCATCTATACCTCACTAACAATTAAGACCTGAAATTCCATAATTCACTATTTTTGTTCTTTGTAATCCAGAAAAAGTGCATATGTAATATATGTACACACACCCCACAACCTACCCCATTATGTTTTACCTTAAAACACTGCTTTTAAGGATAACAAAATTTAAAGATTTTGACCTACTGTTAATGAATCACTAAATATTTTCTCAAGTAATTAAAAAAAAAAAAAACTTTTTTCTTTCCAAGGAAGTCAAAGAACTTTAAAAATATTTTATCAACACATCTTCCCATCAAGCGCCTTTGTTAAGAAAATAGGTTGTTGATAATAACATGAAAAAATCCTAAAAATTTTGGCACCCAACCCATTGTTCTTGCCCTGCAATCATTTACTTAGTCCTTTAAGGTAAGCCAAAATAATAAGCTTCTACAGTATAAATTCTCATACAGAAGTGGGAGAGCCCAGCTCCTCTTCCTATAACATGGCAGCAGGCAGACAGTCAGCTGTCCAAGTCCACACCTTAAGACTGGGAAATCCAGCAGTGGGCCCTGAATGTACTGCCTTTAATGAAGAATTTGCACCTCAGATTTTGAGCATAGCCCTTAGTGAATTTGTCTTTGGGGCCCTAAAAATGGTCTAAAACCAAAAAAAAAAAGCAGAGGATAATTAATTGTTTTTCATTTTAATAATCTTCTGTTGAAATACTGAACTGTATTCCAAATTAAGGAGTTTTCCCTATCACAGAAGTGAGATCAAACTAATTGTGGGTCTGCTATGGTGGTGGTATCCAGCCGTCCTTCTAAATGACATTTTCTCTGATTCCCAGCCATGGGAGTTTGTGGCGTTGCTTCCTGGGTGCAGCTGTTGAATTGCCCGCTTCACACTCTGTAAACCAACACCTTTACAGGGTCATGACTTCACAAGACTCTTTTCAGTTCTTCTCATTTAGCAATTTCAGGGGTCTCTTCATTCCAGCCATGCCTTGTGAGATGGATCACCGAGGTTTCCAACCTAAAACAACATCTCTGAAAGTTTCTGACAGCTAATGATATTTTTGGAGGCAGCTCATTTAGGAAAATCTGTTAAGAAAAGTTAGCACGTTAGATGTGTTACTGATCAACCATTTAAACAAACTGATTAATATCCAGTTTTCTTGTGAAGTGAGGACTTTTTTAATTGTCCTCTATCTGCTAAGGATTTTAGCTTTTTGACTATTAGAATCACATATTCATTATAGTAAAATAAGCAAATTAACTTGAATTCTTCTATTATCATTAAATGAGAAACAATAAAATTGCTTTGTTTTGACACCTATTTACTTTTTCTAGAAATCCAATAAATTTCAACAATACTAAATGTCAGGAAGTAACATAACATTATTAATAAGAATAATACAAAGACATCTTAAAAAATAAAATTCATAACCATTTGAAAACCTGAGAGTTTATAATTACAAATTAACTTGAATTCTTCTATTATCATTAAATGAGAAACAATAAAATTGCTTTGTTTTGACACCTATTTAATGAAATTTGATATTATAATTTTCAACTATACTTTTTCTAGAAATCCAATAAATTTCAACAATACTAAATGTCAGGAAGTAACATAACATTATTAATAAGAATAATACAAAGACATCTTAAAAAATAAAATTCATAACCATTTGAAAACCTGAGAGTTTATAATTACAAAGGGAAAAAAAGACCTGTATTATGAGATCCCATAAAAGGAAATTCAACCACTTGATTTTTAAATATATTTGAAAGCCATCTAATACCCCAGAAATCATTGGGAAAACTTAAGAATCAGTAATAGTGTTTTCAAAGGGACAGATTCCATGGCAAATGATGTTTTGTTTAAACTCTGCTTCCAAATGAAATGCAAGTGTTGAAAACTACCTTAGGCCACTTGAGGTTAATTTTAAGTGGTAGAGAATATTTACTTCTTTTTCTACTTAGCATGGTTTTCATGACTACACATTAGCTTGGTGCGAAGTTGAGATGGATGCATCTCCATAACTAAGTAACAACTGCCCCTCATAAAACCTGGAACAATCTCTAAACACACAAATGACTGTATAAAAATGTCCAGTGTTCTTATGCCCTGTGAGTGAACAGTAAACCCCATCATTGAATTGGTGTCAGGGCACGACTCTGCAATTGAGTAGAAGAAACATAATACTTCACTGGGGAATACGATTTACCTACAGATAAACTATATCATTAGAAGAGCAATGTACTATGTGATGGTGTATTAATGGCATTCAATTTTCCTTGGCATTTAAGCCAGTCTTAGGCAAAAAAGCAAACTTCTGTATCCAGGCACAAATCCAGAAGGCCCATACCCTGTCAGGGGTGGGGAACCTGTGGCCTTGGGGCCACATGTGGCCTTCTGGATCCTTGAGTGGGGCCTTTTGACTGAATCCAAATTTTACAGAACAAATCCTTTTATTAAAAGGGGTGCAACAGAGAAAGATGAAGCTTTTCTTGCCTCCTTTAGTGCTTAAAAAAGAACGATCTAGACATCAGAAGGCTGGTCAGTGAGATCTTCAGTCTGTGGCCTACCCAGTTGTTATCCTGCCCCCAGTATTGAGACTCATCCTCCAGTGAAGCTCACCAGTCCCTTCCCTTGTCCCTGCTGGGTACAGGCATTGCTCACTAGTGTGAAAAAAGACCTCTAGATGGAGAGTCGAAAATCAGCATTTTCATCCTTCACTCTGCCATTAATTGGCTATGTGATTTTGAGCCAGTCGCTTACTGCCTGGGGCCCAATTGTCACATCTGTAAAATGTGTGTATTAAGATGAAGCAGAAATTAAACAGAGACTATGATCTCTTCAAACTCAAATCCCTATGAACCTAGAAACTACTTTTTGAATTTTCTGAGGAACTGTGTGTTTCATTTCTTCGGTAATGCCCCTCACCTTTGCTCTTAAGCTCATTAGGGACTATATTGGAAGATATTTCAAGCCAAAGATGGACAGTTGAGTCAGGCAGAGATTTGGAGGCAGGGAGAATTTTCATTGCCGTATCGGAATTTGTAAATGTCAATAGCTTCCTTACCCCATCCCCACCCCTAATTCATCTCATAAAATACTAATTAAGATCCATTTTTTTTATTGAATGTGTACACACTAAAAAAATTGTCCTCTGCTCATCTGTATCCAACATTGCATTGCATGGTATATTATAATTCAAGACTATATTTTATGCTCAGAGGCAACTTTGCCTCACTTTTAACTTTTCACGCATTTTTATATTTGTGCTTCTTGATACCCAAACAGTCACTGAATTTTTGGTATACACATTTCTTCCACCTATTAAATCAACAGATTATCTAAGAAGTAT